GATGCCACCAGGATGGGAGGCATGTCCATTCTTTCCGAAATTTACTTACATGTTTCCTAATCTTTACTGTATTTATAGTTTTACCATCTTCTGAGCGAGTGCTAGTTTTTCAAAGGCATTTTCTTATCAAGATTACTTAGCAATTTGATTTTTTTTTAACTTAAAAATGCTTTGGGTGATTCTCTCAAATTGTCCTCTATTGTTATCTCAATTTATGAAAGAGGGCATTGAAACACAAGAATATTGAGGTACATGTACAAGAGTCTGATAGGGTTTGGATTAACACTTGCATTTGGATGAGTCAAAAGTTAAACCAAGAAACACAACAAGTTGTTTTCCTAAGAGCTGCAAACATTTAGGTTATGCTGTTATTGTCAGTTACCATGAAATTGGCCCCTAATGTATGGAGACCTAATGTACAATGGAACACAGTTTCCAGTTCTGTATAATCCCCATGATCTCACCATTGTGATACACAGGATTTTCCTCAGATGATTTTCAGGAGTAGATCACCAGGTTTTTTTTTTCCTAGTCTGTAAGCTCTGCTGACACCCGTTAATAATCACAGCAACATAAAATACACCACTGACAGATGGCAGTGGCCGCACATGAGGTACACGGGCAGGGAACCAAACGTGGCTCTTCCACGAGGAAGGCAAGAATTCTACCAGTGAACTACAACTCCTCAATTAATAAATGCTGTTTTCAGTAAGTGCCTTGTTAAGTCAGTTCTGACTCATAGTCACTCTGTATAGGGTTTCTGAAGAGTGGTTGTGGGTTTGAACCACAGATCTTGTGATTCACAGTCAAGTGCTGATCGCTGTCTCTCTCTATATATATATCTTGTGGTTTGCAGTCCAGTGCTTATCCTATAGCACCACAGATTGTTATTGTTTTTAAGTGCTGTTGAGTCTGTTCTGACTCATAGCAACCCTGCACAGGGTTTCCAAGAAGCAGTTGGTGAGCTAGGACTGCCCACCTTGCGATTAAAACCAACCTTCTACTCCAGTGCATAAACCCACAGCGCCATACCAGGACTCCTAATAAACAGATGTTGTTGTTGTTGTTAAGTGCCGTCGAGTCGGTTCCGGCCCATAGCGACCCTGTACAGGGTTTCTGAGGGTGTAAATCTTTACGGGAGTAGAAAGCCTCATTTTTCTCCCGTGGAGCGGCTGGTAGTTTCGAACCCCTGACCTTAAGGTTCGCAGCCCGATTACTCCTAATAAACACATAGTTAAATAAATATTTTTAAAAATCACGTTCAGAATAAGAAAACAGTTCTTCTTGGGAAGACAATTTATAGATCAATTAAGAGTAAGTTATTTCCTTACAATACAGCAGACCTTGCTCTAATTTATAAGATTTATACCTTAGAGGCATAAAGGTCTATTATTCTCACTATTACTATGCAGTTCTGAAAGAAGAGATGCATTTTAGAATTCAAAAGGCAGGAGAAGAAGAATAGAAAGTTTTCTAATTTCTTTGAAATGGCAGAAGGAAAAAAAAATAAAAGTCCAGTCCCTTTAGTGAGAACTTATTTAAGGCTTATTCAAAGAATTTATCCAAAGCACCCAGGTGTGTCGATTTTCTTCTTAAAAACCAGCTAAGCCTCTGAAATAGGTCAGTGTGCTTTAGGCACTCAATTGCCTTCTCCAGACTACGTCGTTTAAGCGCTGGTGCTAAGTGGAGGGTCTTTCTGAGCCTTACTCATAGTCTGACAGGAACTTGGCAATGCAGACAATTCTTAGAACTGGCTTCTCTGTTGGATTCATGGGGAGTTGTTTACAAAGCGTCGGTTGTCAGGTCAAACAACTCAAACTTTCAACAAGAGGAGACAGCGACAGAGAGGGTGTTAGAGCTATAGTGACAGCCTTGCTTAAGAAACTGAAATCAAAAGCTTTTTTCTTAGATTCTACAAATCTCCATTTTAAAAGAAAAAATTCACAAATCTTGAATAGCTACAACCTTGGTGGTTTTGACATACTAAGAAATCAATCTGAGTGATTTACAGTCTTATGTTGTTGTTGTTAAGTGCCGTGGAGTCGGTTCCGACTCATAGCGACCCTGCACAGGGTTTCCGAGGCTGTAAATCTTTACGGGAGCAGAACGCCTCATCTTTCTCCCGCGGAACCGCTTGTAGTTTCGAACTGCTGATCTTGCGGTTCACAGCTCGATTCGTAACCACTACGCTACCAGAGCTCCTTACTTATAGGTACTATTTACCACAATTCTGTTGAGTTTTTGTTTGTTCAATTTCTTGTATTATAGAAACAAGAAGTGAATATTCAATGGTGTCACTAAGATTGATGTCATCCAGTGAGGTAACTCATGTTGTCACTTCCTCCTTGGGCCTTTTCTCATACCAGACCATACAGAATCCTTAGTAATATTCATTGTTTAATCATTGATACTATGTGATGGATATAGTTGTAAACTACTTAAATATAATTTCTTAGCTTGTACGGATACTAACAACAAAACTGTTTTGTAAGATCTCTCTGCATTGATTTATATATTAGTTACAGTATTTGTAGTTGAGCAGAAACCTCTCTTGGTTTCTCTTCTTTTACCTTAATACCCCATTCTCCAAAAAGTTATTGACATAGGTTCACAAAAACTACTTTCCACAATATTGTATCTAAAACAACAGAAAATTTGACAAAATTGTTTTCAGGTGTCATCCAGTTGTTTCTGACTCATAGTGACCCTGCGTACAACAGAATGGAACACTACCATCCTCACAATTGTTGTTTGAACCCATTGTCAGAGCTACTGTGTCAGTACATCTCCTTGAGGATCCTCCTCTTTTTCTCTGATCTTCTACTTTATCAAGTGTGATGTCCTTCTCCAGTATTTCTTCCAAGAAAGATGTGTTAGTTTTTCTGGGAGTCCATGGTATATTAAATATCCCTCATCAACACCACAATTCAAAGGCATCAATTCTTCTCTGATATTCCTTATTCATTGTCTCTCTTTTGCATGCCTATAAGGTGGTTGAAAATACCATGGCTTGGGTTAGGTACACCATAGTCCTCAAAGTGAGTCTGTTCTCTAACTCTTCAAAGTGGTCTTTAACAGCAGATTTCCCAATACAATATGTTATTTGATTTCTTGACTGCTACTTCCATGAATGTTGATTATGGATTCAAGTAAAATAAAATGCTTAACAATGTCTATCTTTTCATAGTTTATTATGTTGTTAGTTATTGAGAATTTTTGTCACTGAAGTGTAATCCATATGAAAAGCTGTATTATTATTTTTTTTAATCTTAGTACGTACTTCAAGTCTTCTTTGCTTTCAGCAAGTAAGGTTTGCCATCTGCATATTACAGGTTATTAATGAACCTTCCTTCAATCCTGATGGAGCATTTTTTTTTTTTCATGAAGCATTTTTTTTTCTAGTCCAATTTCAAAGATTATTTGCTCATCATAAAGATTGAATAAGTATAATGAAAGAATAAAATCCAGATGCACACTTTTTCCAATTTAAAACCATTTAGTATCCCGTTGCTATGTTTTAAAGACTACCTCTTGGTCTATGTACCGGTTCCCCATGAGCACAATGACTTGTCCTGTGATTCCCATTCTTCTACAAAATTAGTGAATTTTGTAATACTCTCTTGTAGTACGTGCAGACAAAACCACATGATTCAAAGTATTGTCGTAACTGGGTAATAATGACAGTTCTGATTGGAAGGCATTAGAAAGTTCAAAAAGTAAATTAGCATAGTATTTTCACCTTGTAGGTATATTGATAATGCAAGCTGGGTTTACAAAAAGTGTTTTTGTTGTTATAACTAACTATAGGAATATTTTAATAAAAGGTAAGTTTTTACAGAAAACAGTGTACAACAATTTTGGGACCACCTCCTCTGACAGTATTACCAATGTGGTCTGTGATCCTTACATCTCTGTACTGATATCACCACTGTGAACACTGTCATTTCCTCTTACAGTATAGCCTGGCTTCACTGGGCTTTCCAAAGAAATGCAACGTGCTTTTACTTTTAAGTTTTAATATAGGGGAGAAAGGAAACCTAAAACATTTAGTTCGGTGTCATAGGTTTTTAGGAGATATCCCTAAAACATATTTTGGGTTTGATTTTTGTAGTTGGGCGTTAAAGTTGTTCTTATAAATTAACCTTCAATTGATATGCTATAAATCAAATGATTTAATTATACAGATAAATTATGCATAGCAAACTAACCACCACCAACAAAATCAATCTTGGCTAGCCAAGTGAATATATTATAGATAAATAAGAGCAAGCATTTTTAAAACCACTAGATGGCATTCATTCACTGTAATTTTGGCGGAATTACAGCCTTCCAATGTTTATCATGATGTACAAGGTTAGGGGGAAGACAAATGTTATGCATTATTTGATGATATTTTCCTATTATTTAACACAACACCAATATTCAGTTTTATCTCTTCCTGTTTACTTCAAATGAAATCAACAAATTTTTATTGAACTTTTTTTCAACAATTCTTTGAGAAGAAAGTTGAAAACCATTTTCACAATGGTGGTTATGTATTTACTGGCAACATGTAGCAAAAATTATGTAATACCCAGCATTCTGTTTAATTTTCTTTTCTTTTTAAAAAATTTCTTTGCTATTTCTCATGGAGTTATTTCTCTAAAGATTAAAAAAAGGCAAAAAAAAAAGTTCTCATATTTTTAGATGGTATTCATCTTTAGTGTTTCTGAAAAAATAAGGAGGGCAACTTGCTTTTCATTACTCATGAACAGTCCTTCAATTGTAGTTGCTTTAAAGATGTGTGATAAATAGTGCTTCTAACTGCATTAACACCTGAAAATCAAAATGACATTTGTTGATAATGAACTATGACTGATTCTGAGGATTAATCATGGAATGAAATATCCAAATTTCACACTCCAAACTAAAAGATTGGAAGAAGGTATTGATGGAGACAAGTAATTCAAAGATTAACTTTTCTATAAGTAGCCTATGTTAATATAAAATCTAGAACTTACCTGCTCTAATATATTTTGAAGCCTTTCTATCTCACAGTCTATTACAAATTTCTTCTCTTGCCTTCTATCAAGTTCTTCTAGAAGTTGTCTATAGCTGACGTCATTAAAGTTTTCCACACATATAGCACTGACATGCCAACCGTTTTGTCCTGCTTTTTCCATAATAGCTTGCAGTATCGAGTATCCTATTGGGGAAAAACAAAGAAATAAAAAGTTACTGAAACAAATCTTTTTCATTCCCCTTTAATAACTTATAAGGAGCCCCAATGGTGCTGTAAGATATGCCACGGGATGCTAACCACGAGGTTGGCAGTTCAAACTCACCAGCCTCTCTGCTGGAGAACGATGAGGTTTTCTACTCTGGTAGTGTAGTGGTTATGAATTGGTCTGCTAACCTCAAGGTCAGCAGTTTGAAACTACCAGCTGCTCTGTGGGAGAAAAATGAGGCTTTCTCCTCCAGTAAAGATCTATAGCTCGGAAACCTTATTTTTGTTTTTGAGTGTTGTCAGGCAAGTCAGTTCTGACTCAAAGTGACATTGTATAGGAGGGTTTCCAAGGAGTGGCTGATAGGTTTGAACCACCGACCTTGTGGTTAACAGTCCAGGGCTTATCCTACTGTGTCATACCAGAATTCCAGGATTGAGTCACTATGAGTTGGAATATACCTGATGGCCGTGGGTTTTAGTAACTTATGCAGTCAGACTCTACATTTACAATAAATGCTCAGAAAGTTCATCTGAATGGTTATTTCTGAGTCATTTTTTTGCTCTGATAAACCAAATTCCTCAAATTGGTTAAATGAGGTAGTAACAACATAGTATTCTTTCAAAAATCTCCCTGGGTGGTGGTGGTGGTAGTGTGCTAAGGAGTCCTTTCTGACTCACAGCAACTTTGGATAGGGTTTCTGAGGCTGTAAGTCTTTATGGAATCAGAAAGCCTCAACTATTTCCTGCAGAATGCCTGGTAGTTTCAAACTGCTGACCTTGAGTTTAGCAGCTTGACTCGTAACCACTACACTACCAGAGTTCTTTCAAAATCTCCCTACTGAAGATTATTGCATTGCCATATATATATATATGTTGTTGTTGTTAAGTGCCGTCGAGTCGGTTCCGACCCATAGCGACCCTGTATGAGGTTTCCAAGGGTGTAAATCTTTATGGGAGTAATAAGCCTCATCTTTCTCCCGCGGATCTGCTGGTAGTTTCGAACTGCTGACCTTCAGGTTCGCAGCCCAATTCATAACCACTATGCTACCAGAGCTCCTTATATTGTGTTTTTATTGTGAATTGAGTGATAGTTTACATGGGAGAACATTGGTTTTACATTTATCATTTCATTGCAATGAAATTAATCATGATAACAATTACTCACTACTGAATCATAAGACTCTTATTCCCATCTCCTTTCACCAGACCCATCTAGACAAGATGAAAACTAGCCAGTGGGATTCTACGTTCCCCTGCACACTCTGAAACTAAATTCCCTCTTGAAAGCTTGTAAGCCAGTCATTTCATGCCTTTACAGCTCCCCATTTTAGGTAGCCAATGTCTAAGTTGCACTCTAGACAGATATTTTACTTCTGGTTTGGAGCTGTAGTATCAGTACAGGACTGCAAACCACAAGGTTGGTAGTTCAAACCCACCAACTGCTCCTTGGAAACACTATACAGGGTCTCTATGAGACGGCACTTAACAACAAGACAGATTTTAGATGAGATCAACAAAACCCAAATCTAGTACCATGTATGGTCAATAACAATTTGAATAAGAGGTTTTATCATTTTACTCATCAAACAAATTCATTTGAATAACTATTTCTGACTCTTCCCATGAACAAAGTAGTGTCAATTTTGAGAAGATGTAAAAGAAACAGTAAAACAGTATTTATTGAGGATCCATTATTACCCAAGACGTGTGAACACGTATCTATCAATAGAGAAGACATAATTTACTTATTTCTTGTTTTGCATGGTGGTTGGTGGTTATGTGCCATGGAGTCAGTTCCCACTCATAGTAACCCTGTACAGGGTTTCCGAGGCTGTAAATCTTTATGGGAGCAGAAAGCCTCATCTTTCTCCCATGGAACAGGTGGTAGTTTCAAACTGCTGACCTTGCGGTTGGCAGCCCGATTCGTAACCACTACGCTACTAGAGGGTGGTGTAAAGTGGGGGTGAGTTAAATAACTACTTGAGTTAGGAAATGGGTTACAACACTTGCTTTTTTAGATAGGTACAGACATTGATAAGTAGAGGCAAAAAAGTTGAGATGCAAAGGATAGAATATACTCAAGAAGTCTAGCTTTAAGCATGAATAAAACATGGTTCTATTTAAGAAGTATAGAATTAGAATATGTTATCATAATATGGGAATCCTAGAGTGGCATTGTGGGTTAATTCACTAGAATACAAAGTTGGTTTGAATCACAAGGTTGGCGATTCAAGCTCACCTTCCACTCCTCAGAAACCCTATACAGGGTCGCTATGAGTTGGAACTGACTCGAAGGCACTTAACAACAACATCATAATATGAGTCAGAACTGATTTGATGGCACTTAACAACAACAATCATAATGTGTATAAGAGAAGGATGTGCCAGTTGGCTTCCTTAAAGATTACGTCCTTGGAAACCTTCTGGGAAACCTCTATTCTGTCCTATGTGGCTTCTATGATTTGGAAATCAATTCTATGGCAATGGGTAGCTTTCTTTTTCTTTTTCTTTTTCTTTTTTTTTTTTAAATACTCATAACATGTGTGAAAACACTGTGAAACAAAGTAGATCACAATTCTAACAGATATCTTTGCAACTTTGCTACAAATAGAAAGCATAACATTTCCAGGAAAACCAAATCTAATTCCACAACTCTTTCAATATTAGTCACGGGAGAAATTTATTTTCTTGTATGTTACAAATGTATTATCTAACTTTACGCTCCTGTTTTTTGTTGAACATGAGGAAGGCAGTCATAAATAGAAATAAATTCACTAATCCAATCTCCAAGGAATGTTGTGGATATATCCTCTGAAGTGGGAATCCCATTTGTTGTTGTTGTTAGGTGCCGTCGTGTTGGCACCGACTCATGTACAGTAGAACAAAACACTACTATGTACAGTAGAACAAAACACTGCCTGATCCTGGGCCAACTTCACTACCATTGCCATGCTAGAGTCCATTGATGCTGCCACTTGGCTAATCCATCTCGT